CCCGCGGGCTCAGGCCATCCACTCACCTCAGCCTCCCAAAGGCGCAGGATTACAGGCTGACCCACCGAGCCTGGCTAGGGGCACATTCTTTAGGAACTGGTTTGAGCTATAATTAAGAGTTTCCATAGCAATTGAGTAAGTTAGAATTAGTAGAATCAGCATAGAATAGAAAGGTAATAGGATTTAAGTTAGTCATCATAGGTATTGTGTACACATAAGCTTTAGAAGTTATTGATTATTAGAACATCATGATGCTAGTAGGGACTGTTGTATTGCTTTTGAGGAACATTAATCAAGCATAGGGAACAATAAGACAGTTTTGGGTTTGTCCTTGCTCATACCTGAAAAACACCTGGTGGGTGGGGGATGCCCCTCATGCACCTGGCTTTGTGTTCACGTGAAAGATATGTGAGACTGTGTAAAATTTCGGGATAAAAGACCCGTTGTAATTCCCAATAAACGGCTTCTGCACTAAACAGAAGTCCAGACTCTTTCTCTCTCTCTAGTTTCTTCTCTCTTTCTTAAACTGCCGATGCCATCACACCAGCCAGAGACCCCTGACCCCTGCAGGAGCAGGACTCCTACACTCAGCGTTCCGAGTAGCTGAGACAACAGGCACGTGCCACCATGCCTGGCTAAATTCTAAAAACTTTTTTTGTAGAGATGAGGTCTCACTGTATTGCCTAGGCTGGTCTCAAGCAATTCTCCCAAGTGCACCTCCCAAAGTGCTGGGATTACAGGCATGAGCTACTGTGCTTGGCCTTATTGTCATTTAAAGAACAATTTGTGGTCTTCCCATGTTATACACACAATTCTTAAATAAGGGAGTCACTTATTTATCTACAATAGGATATGTTTTAAAAAACTGATTTATAATATTTTCTTGTAATATAAGAAAGCCTGGACAACATGGCCCAGGTTTCAAAGACCCTGACTCAAAAAAAAAAAAGTATAGAAAACAAGGCATATTTCCAACCATATAAAAATTGAAGAGCAAGCAAAATTTTCTTTTGGTAACTGACGTTAACCCATTAACAAGGAAAAAGATATATTCTATTAACCAAGTTGGTACCAAAACAAAATTCTAGTTAAACATATTTTTATTTCAACTTTATTGTGTCATCAATTGCATCAGGGCACAAATGTCCAGTTTACTCACTACATTTAAAATGATCTGCAATAGCTGACATAATTCTACAAATTCTAACTGAATATATCCAGTCCATGTTCAATTAGTACAAGATTAATGCCATCTGTGTTAGAACTGCTTAACGGTAGGGAATTATTAAAGACACAGATACAGATACAGAATAGTGAGAAATACACAATAATATAGACATACCTGATTAAATAACTGATTGCACATATATGTAATTTTTTCTTGAGTAGGAGTCTCACTCTGTCACCCAGGCTGGAGTGCAGTAGCACGCTCACAGCCTCCGTAGCTTCGACCTACAGGGCATAAGCAATCCTCCGCCTCAGCCTTCTAAGTAGCTGGAACTACAGACATGCAACACCAAGTCCAGCTAATTTTTTGTTGTTGTTGTTGTAGAGATGAAGTCTTAACAAGTTGTCCAGGGTAATCTTGAACCCCTGAGCTCAGGCAATCCTCTCACCTCTGCCTCCCAAAGTATTGGGATTACAGGCATGAGCCGCCACGCTCAGCTTGCATATATTAATAAAAACATCTCCCCAAATCATTTTACGAAGCCAACATCACATTGATACCCAAGCCAGGTAAAGATCCAACAAAGAGAACTACAGGCCAGTATCTTTGATGAACATAGATGCTAAAATTCTCAACAAGATCCTAGCAAACTGGATTCAGCAATACATCTAAAAAATCATCCACCATGACCAAGTAGGCTTCATTCCTGGCATGCAAGGCTGGTTCAACATTCGTAAAACCATAAATAAAAACAGACTGCCATATACCCCAATCAGAAAATTAGCAGATTAAGCATCAATTAACTAAACAGAAGTAAAATTTTTAAAAAGGTAGAAATATCATCGGGGAAAATAACAAAGTGAAAGGAGAATTAGCATGAGAGATAAGCCTCAACTAATAAATTTTAAGACAGAAGATAAACGTAAATGCTTTAATAATTAATGCTATGTGTAGAGCAAAATATAAGGAATGAGTTAAGAGAAGAAAAGCCACCAAAAGGAAGCAGGATTCCAAAGTAGCATTCTACCCAGGGTAAAAGGTATCAGGCATCCATGACCAGAAAAAAATGGCAATACTGCTAACAGCAGCATGTGGCCTTCAAATGAAGAGATAAGTAAGAGCTTTCTGGCAGACTCCATAAACAGCAAAGAGGACAATACATTTTATTATTTTATGTCCAGGCTTTCTTATATTACTAGAAAATATTATAAATCAATTTTTTTTTTTGAGTTGGAGTCTCACTCTATTGCCCAGACTAGAGTGCAGTGGCTGCTCCTGGCCACCACAGCCTCGACTTGCTGGGTTCCGGCGATCCTTCCGCCTCAGCCTTCCGAGTAGCCGGAATTACAGGCATGTGCTACCACGCCCGGCTGATTTTTTTTTAATTTATTGTAGAGATGAGGTTTCGCTGCCCAGGTGGGTCTTGAACCCGCGGGCTCAGGCAATCCACTCATCTCAACCTCCCAAAGCGCAGGATTACAGGCTGAGCCACCGAGCCCAGCTAAATCAATTTTTTAAAACATATCCTAGCGCAGATAAATAAGTGACTTTATTATTTTATTTTATTAAGACAATAAATTATATATTTTTTAATCAAGAGCTCAGAGTTAATGGGACAGATCTCAATATAGCTTAGTATTAGATATACCTATCACAAGGTATGGTGGCTCATGCCTTAATCTCAACACGTTGGGAAGCAGAAGCGAGAAGATTGCCTGAGTTCAGGGGTTCCAGAACAGCCTAAGCAACTTGGCAAGACCTTGTCTCTACAATAAATCAAAGAATTAGCCGGGCGTGGTGGTGCATGCCTGTAGTAGTTCTAGCTCCTTAAAAGGCGAAGCAGAAGGATCCTCTGAGCCTAGCAGGTCAAGTCTGCGGTGGCCGTGAACATGCCACTGCACTCCAGCCTGGGCAACAGAGTGAGACTCCGACTCAAAAAAAAGAAGAAAAAAAGATTTATCTCAGCACCCATCAGTTTTACAGCCTTCAGCATAAACTAAAGTCGTTTGTAAAACTTCAGAAACACCAAAAGGGAAGAAGAGCCTTTAAATGACCACAGTACAAACAACACTTAATCAAGCAGAAGCTTGCACTCCCTCCACTTAATGTTTCAGAGAGATGAATGAACTGCAAGGAGAGCCTAGACTGAAAGTAGTATAACTCCAGAACTTTCTCTTTACATCAGCTATGCTGTGTACACAATCATTAGTTGATCACACCTTGTATAGTTTTTCTCCGCCTTTGAGAATAAGGACCGCAAGTGTTCTTTAAAATGAAGAGAAACATTCACACGGTCAAGTTTCCTCAGTAAACTCAAGTAAATACCCTACTGGGTTTCAGCGAGGCACAAGTCATGAACATTTTTCCAAGGCTGTTTTCGAGCTTTGTAAGAAAACAGTATTTCTTACCTCAAGCAATAAACACAAAATAACAAGTAAAAAACTTTAAGCCAGCCAGGCTCGGTGGCTCAGCCTGTAATCCTGCGCCTTTGGGAGGCTGAGGTGAGTGGATTGCCTGAGCCTGCGGGTTCGAGACCCGCCTGGGCAGCGAGACCTCATCTCTACAATAAATCAAAAAAATCAGCCGGGCGTGGTAGTGCATGCCTGTAATTCCGGCTACTTGGAAGCTGAGGCGGAAGGATTGCCGGAGCCCAGCAGGTAGAGGCTGCGGTGTTCGGGAGTGGCCACTGCACTCCAGTCTGGGCGACAGAGTGAGACTCCAACTCAAAAAACAACAACAACAAAAAAAAAAACCAAAAAAACTTTAAGCGACACTTACCCTCCAAGCAAGTCTGCAGTGTCACTTTGTTGATTCATATTGACAACCCTCAAACGGTGGCCTATGACAAATAAAGAGCAACAGAGTAAAAAGATTTAAAGACTGGTAACATCCGGCATGCTCTCTAAGGATATGGGAACAAGGCACATTTTTAATTATGCATTTCTTCTGATCCTCTCATTTTATTTTCAGGAATCTTAACCGTTCAAAATTTTCATATAACTAACCCAGAGAAAGATATACAAGAAGACTCACTGTGGCCTTATAGCTGTAGCATCAGATAAATGAAAATAACAAAAAGATCCTTCAGCAATTCAATGTCTATAAATTAGGACTAAAGAAATACCCAGCGTGTGATATTATTCATCCATTACAAGGAAGGAGACATTCTGTTTTTAAAGTTTTCCAATTTGCTTGACTAAATGCACTATATAGAATATAATCTCATTAGTTTTGAAACAAAACAAAATCTATATGTACACATATTTGCAGAGAACAGAAGTAAGATAATAACAATCTGTTAACAGTGGGTATTTCTGGGAAAAGAGATTACATGTGGAATAATGGCACTTTTTAAAAGCTCCAGTAGGCGGGTGTGATGACTCAAGCCTACAATCCCAGCACTTTGGGAGGCCAAGGCGAGAGTACTGCCTGAGCCCATGGGTTTGAGGCGAGGCTGGGCAACTTGGCGAGACCTCATCTCTACAATAAATCAAAAAATCAGCCGGACATGGTGGTACATGCATTTAGTTCCCACTACTTGGAAGGCTGAGGCAGAAGGATCACCTGAGCTCAGCAGGTTGAGGCTGTAGTGGCCATGAGCAAGCCACTGTATTTCAGCCAGGGCGACAGAGTGAGACTCCAACCCCCCCCAAAAAAAAGCTCCAGTGGTCATCGGATTTTTTTCTTTTTCTTAGCAGTCAGTATGAAAGACCTGGGGCAGAGTTGTTTCCCCTAGAGGTTACCTGTGATGTGAGCCAAGTACTGGACAGTAGAGGTTTTCCCAGTCCCAGTCTCTCCCACCAGCAACACAGACTCCCCTTTGCTGACACACACTGCCAGTTGTTCAATGAGAACAGAGGATGGTCGTGTAGCCGCAAAAGTATACTTCTCCCTGGGAAGGGGGAAAAGAAGGTTAAAAACCAGGCTGCAAAAGCTCTTAATGTTGCTCTGAGGAACCAGATTCAACGAACAGGAATGAGAAAACAGCTCAGAGTAATTATCTTCATGCATAGTCTTATATAACATGTAACAATTACAGAATTTAGTTGTTTTGCAAACAGGGAATACTCACACATCTGGTACTGTGCTAGCCTCTGGGGATTCAAAACACCAGTAAGATAAGGCATTATCTGTACTACTTAAGCCATCTTGGGCAAATTACTTAACCTGCTTTAGCCTCAGTTTCATCACCTGTAAGATGTGGGTAGCAACGGTGCCTAGTTGTAGTAGGTTGAATAGTCTTTCTCCAGAATTCAGGACCACACAGAAACTGTGAACGTGACCTTATTTTGAAACAGGGTCTTTGCAGATTTAACCAAGTTAAGATAAGATCACACCACAAGCCGGGCTCGGTGGCCCAGCCTGTAATCCCACGCCTTGGGAGGCTGAGGTGAGTGGATTGTCTGAGCCCGCGGGTTCGAGACCCGCCTGAGCAACTTCGTGAGACCTCACCTCTACAAAAAAAAAAAAAATTAGCCAGGTGTGGTATCACGCGCCTGTAATTCCAGCTACTTGGAAGGCTGAGGTGGAAGGATCACCGGAGCCCAGCAGGTCGAGGCTGCAGTGGCCGGGAGCAGCCACGGCACTTCAGTCTGAGCGACAGAGTGAGACTCCAACTCAAAAAAAAAAAAAAAAAAAGATCACACTGCATTAGTCAGTCTTAAATCCAATGACGAACATCCTTATAAATTCTGTGACACAGCAGCACACACAGGACATGTGACAACAGAGACTGAGATTGGAGTGATATAGCTCCAAGACAAGAAACACCAAGGACTGCTGGGAACAAAAGGAAACCAGGAAGAGGCAAGAATGTATTTTTTCCCTAGAACCTTCAGAGGGAGGAGCATGGTCCTGCCAACACCTTGATTTTAGACTTCTAGGCTCCAGTACCATGAAAGACCAACATCTACTGTTTAAAGTCATCAAGTTTATGGTAATTTGTTATGGCTGCCCTAGGACACTAATATACAATTCACAGGGTTATAATCACTACATGAAAAAGTATATGAAAAGCACTAAGCATGTAATAAGCATATAACAGTTAACTAATCTCGGAATTTTTTTTTTAAGAGACAGGATCTCACTCTGCTGCCCAGGTTGGTGTGCAGTGGTATGGTCATAGCTCACAGCAGCCTTGAACTCCTGGGGTCAAGTGATCCTCCCTGCTCAGTCTTCTGAGGAGTTAGGATTACCTAGTGACAAGCCTGACAAGGCTTGTTATTCCCCCCTCTTTTTTTCTTGTAGACAGTCTTGATATACTGCCCAGGCTGGTATCAAACTTCTGGCCTCAAGCAATCCTTTCACCTCAGCCCAGTGTGCTGGGATTACAGGCAGGAGCCACCACACCTGGCCAGATCTCAGAATCTTATATAACTCAGGCTTCAAGGAATTTACAGACTAAGTTAAGCACAGCCTGACTTCCACCTGCGACTTACTCTGATAAATACACTGCAGTGAGTAAAGTCAAAGATTCTTCTTTGCTAATGCCAAGTTTGTAACAACCTTCATGCCTCCTTCACCTATTAGCAACTAGTTACACACAAAAAACTTTGCAAAAACACTGCTCCTTCCCATGCAGTTCAGACATGTGTTGTATAAAACCAAGGAGCTGTCTAGATCTCCTGTCAAGCGCCTGGCAACCCCAGTGTGTAGATTAGCTCACAACCTTACTCACCTCTGCACGTGAACAGTCTCACTTTGCTTCCGGAGAAGCCGCACTCGGCCCACTTGTACATCCAGCTCATTGATCACAATTTCTGGTTTATAAAGTTGACAGAAGAATTCGACCTGTGGGAGGTAAAGATTCTGTCAGAATAAAAATCCATATACTCTTTGAATATAACCTTATCCAGGCTTATTATGCTCATCTAATTAGCCCTCTGCCTCTAATACAGGTAAGGAGCTTTCATCAAGACATTTTTCCCATTTTTCAAATTTCTAATACTGTGCTTTTAAAAACACTGATCATACTTTTCTGAAATGGTACTTTTAACTCATTTAAATAAGCCTCTGCCTGTTTTCGAAGTGAACACATCGGCATATCCAAATAGAGAATGAACAGTAACTAGCTCTACCCCTAAAAGATACTGAAAAAATCAGAGTGGCCTTTCTCCAGCTATGCTTTCCCCCGCCTTAAATTTCTAACGTAGTGCAGAAAACCACTGCTCATCTGATCACAGTCAAAGTCAAAAGAGAAGCCATGACAGATGCTCCTCGATGTCCACGTTAGCAATCATTCTTCTCTTGTCCAGAGAACCCAGGTTGTACTCAGGTTTGGATCAGAAGTAAAAGAGGCTGAGCGGGGGATGGGAAAACACTTCTTATCTACAGGGTGCCTGAATGAAATGTCATTGTACACCTAACCCTTAACTGTACCCCACAAAACCATAATAAAAAATACTGATTAATGAAAAAAAAAAGAGGCTGAGCAACTCTAGGAAGGTAAGACCCTGTCCAGCCAAAGAAGAGCACTGAGCAGTCTCTTCCAGTCAAGGTGGGGCTATTCCTTCTATATGATTTATCAGTGAGGTCCCTTCCAACAGGGTGTTCTATTACCTCCAGACAAAACTATCCCAACCAATTCATAAGCCAAAGAAAAACAGACTATTGCAGTTCTTGACATAAGGCTTTTTAGAGCTGTCATTCATGTGAGAATGCCAGGTATGTGCCTCCAGGTAAGTTCCAGACATTTGTTTAATCACCAACCCCACTACGGAAAGGCTCTCTCCTCCCAAAATAAATACTTTGTTATAAAACAAGAATGGCAAAATATTGAAAACGTCAGCAGTGTGTACAGGCATCCATTGGTACTATTCTTTTCAACTTTTCTGATAATAATAAAAACATGGAAAAAAAATCTGTGCACTAAACTATAGACAAAGGCATTGCTAAAACATTGTTCCAGTTCCGAGTCTATAATCTACAGAATAAAATACTCACTAAAACATGGGAAGCTAGATGTGGTGGCTCACACCTGTAATCCCAGCACTTTGGGAGGCCAAAGCAGGAGGATCACTTGAGCCCAGGAGTTTAAGACCAGCCGGGGCAACACTGGGGCATGGTCTTTAAAAAAAAAACATACCGGCCAGGCGCAGTGGCTCAAGCCTGTAATCCCAGTACTTTGGGAAGCCGAGGCAAAAGGACTGCCTGAGCACAGGGGATCGAGGCCAGCCTGGGCAACTTGGTGAGATCTCGTCTCTACAATGAATTAAAAAAAAAAAATCAGCCACGTGTGGTAGCACGCGCCTGTAGTTCCAGCTACTTGGAAGGCTGAGGCGGAAGGAATGCCTGAGCCCAGCAGGTTGAGGCTGCGGTGGCCGTGAACATGCCACGGCACTCCAGCCTGGGCGAAAGAGTGAGACTCCAATTCAAAAATAAATAAGTAAATAGAACACTGGAAAATAAAGTATACGTATAACATAGGGCATGAGGAAGCTCACTTTCAGAATGTGGAACACATGGAGAACTACGTAAGTATGGGATACTGGGAGTTATGTCTATGACAGGCACCCAGTTTTGCATATGAAGCAACACTGCAAAAACTGTTCCAGGTAAGGGCCAGAGACTAGCAAGAGAGCTAGATATTGCAGCCTCCTTTCAAGAGGGAAGTACAAATAGCACTACATACCTTTTTCTTAGAAATGTTCAATTTGCTTCCAATAACTTCCGCCATTTTCAGTTTGCTTGTATGCTCAGAAAGCATTGCTGTGAAACAGTCCAGAGCCTATTAAAATAACCAAGGTAAATGCCAACTGATTTTACAAGGAACACATCAATTACACAGCATCATCTTCCTGGCCACAAGAGGAAGGGACATAAAATCCAGCAGGAATTTTCTGCAGGACTGAAACAAATGCAAATAAGGTACCAACCCTGGACTCAGGACTTACCATAATGGACAGAATACCAACAAATGTTGAAGGATTTACTACTGAAATTATTGACTAAATTAAATAACAAACAATAAAAACCATCTTATTTTGCAAATCCTAACTTACAGCAAAGAAGAGCAATTAGTGTTCATCACTAGGTATGTGGTTCACAGGAGAACTGACTCTCATATAGAGCAAATTTAACACCAAAAGATGGCTTTCTAGCTGTTAGTGGAAATACAGACATTATCCCAACCCAGTACTAGATCTTGGCAACTACCAAGATAGGTAGGTCAACCAGATTATGTCTTCTGATGTAATGAACTATAAAGTGCCACCAAAAATTGTTGACCTTGAATCCAACAAGCATTTTGTTAAACTTCTGTTTACAGGAAATAGTAAGGATTTAAAAAAGGGAAAGGACACCATGAGTGTAGTATAATAAGAATGCATCTGGTCATTGTCCCCAATTCTTGGCAATGAGCTTCAAAAAATCTTTGGTATTACTCCATTGAAGTATTTTTGCTATTCACAACAAATAACCCTTTGGACCACACCTGAGTATATGCTAATATAGTGACTCATGGCAGACCCTTAAATAGTTTCAAGGGAGTGGCTAGCAAAGTTAGAAAGATCAAGTTCATGGTTAAAAGAGTGACGTGGCTCAGCCTGTCATCCCAGCACTTTGGGAGGCCAGGCAAGTGGATTGCCTGAGCCCGCAGGTTCAAGACCAGCCTGGGCAACTTGGCAAGACCTTGTCTCAACAATTAATCAAAAATTAGCCGGCATGGTAGCATGCGCCTATAGTTCCGGCTACTTGGAAGGCTGAGGTGGAAGGATCACTGGAGCCCAGCAGGTAGACGTTAGGGTGGCCGTGAGTGTGCCATAGCACTCCAGCCTGGGCAATGGAGTGAGACTCCAACTCAAAATAAAAAACAAAACAAAAGGTTGATACCTTTCAACTCTACCCCCAACCTCTGAGAAGGGAGGGTATGGAGATAGAGTTCATTCAATGGCCAATGACAAAAAACCCCAATTAAACTGTGAATGCCTAAAACCTGGAGAGATTCCTAGTTGGTGAACATATTCATATATGTGAAAGGGGCATACCCTGACTACATGAGAACAAAAGCCCTGCTCTTGGGACCCTCCCAGACCTTGCCCTATGTGTCTCTTCCATTGGGCTATCCCTGATTTGTATCCTGTTTAACAAAACTGTAATCAAAATATACTACTTTTGGTAATTTCTGTAAGTCATTTTATTGAACTTTTGAATCCAAAGGGGTCTAATGAATTTATAGCTGGCAGACCAGAAGTGAGGATGCCAAGCCACCCTGACTGGGGGCTGGGTTCTGACGTGGAGGAGTGAGCCCTTAAACCTGCAAGGTCTACACTAACTCTCAGTAATGTCGGAATTGTATTAAATTAACTGCAAGACACCAGTTGGTGCTAGAGCGATACAGAAGCCACCAGATAGTCAGAAGGTTAAAACACTCTGTAAAATGCAGACGTGCCAACGTAAGTAATTCTGGCTACAGCTCAGCCCTTCTGGCCCTAACTTAAATCTGCAATACTTCCTTAAGCAAATCACTTAGTCAACCCTCTAATCGTTAACAGAAGGCAGAAGTGGTTTCCCAGAAGTAAACACTGACGAATGTTTGTAACCCCCACAAGCATGCTCTATCTTAGCTGCCCCTCTATTCCAAGTATTTGTTTTCCAGGCATAAGGACTGAGCTGACCCAATCTACTGAGGTCAGTACTCCATGACCACCCGCCCACCACCGGCTGGTGGTGGAGCCGCAAGATACACTGTCCTGACATCAAAACATAAGACTTATGTTATCAATTAACAAGGACACAGTTGTTGGAATTTTTTTCTAGTCCAGCTTCCCTGTAAACACCTTAAATACACCTTCTCACTACACCCCATGCCATATTGCTCAACAGCGATGGCCCCATTCTCTCTTGAATGCAAATACTCTTTAACTTTTCTTTTGCAATTAATTACTTTATTGTTGGGGCATGGGCTGACTGGCCTAACACTGCAAAACAAATGGACTGCTGTCTTCAGCAAAGCAGTGTCTTAAAAGTAGAACTCTGAAACAGTAAGAGATCTGCAGTGGCTCAGCCTCTAATCCCAGCACTCTGGGAGGCCAAAGTGAGTGGATTACCTGAGCCCACGGGTTTGAGACTAGCCTGGACAACTGGTGAGATGTCAACTCTACAATAAAAATTTAAAAAAAGAAAAATTAGCCGGGTGTGGTAGCATACACCTCTACTTCCGGCTACTCGGAAGGCTGAGGCGGAAGGATCGCTGGAGACCAGCAGATCGAAGCTGGGATGGCCATGAACGTGCCACTGCACCCCAACTCAAAAACAAAAAACAAAAAAAACATGAGAAAGCAGGACATCTGGCTTCTGAGCGGGAAACTCTGTAGTGCCAGTGACAAAAAAGAGAATTAAATATGCGTGATGTTGAGAAAGGCAAGAAGATTTTTGTTCAGAAGTGTGCCCAGTGTCACACCATGGAAAAGGGAGGCAAGCACAAGACTGGGCCAAATCTCCATGGTCTCTTTGGGCAGAAGACGGGGCAGGCTGCTGGATTCTCTTACACAGATGCCAATAAGAAAAGAGACATCATCTGGGGAGAACATACCCTGATAGAGTATTTGGAGAATCTCAAGAAGTACAGCCCTGGAACAAAAATGATCTTTACCGGCATTAAGAAGGGAGAAAGGGGCCGGGCTCAGTGGTTCAGCCTGTAATGCCAGCACTTTGGGAGGCCGAGGTGAATGGATTGCCTGAGCCCGTGGGTTTGAGACACGCCTGGGCAACTTGTTAAGACTTCATCTCTACAACAAATCAAAAATTAGCTGGGCATGGTAGTGTGTGCCTGTAGTTCCAACTACTTGGAAGGCTGAAGCGGAAGGATCACCAGAGCCCAGCATGTCGAGGCTGAGGTGGCCGGGAGCGGCCACTGCACTCGAGTCTGGGTGACAGAGTGAGATTCCAACTCAAAAAACAAAAAAATTAAAACAAGAAGTGAGGAAGGGCAGACTTGATAGCTTATCTCAAAAAAGCTACTAATGAGCACTAATTGGCCACTGCCTTATTTATTACAAAACAGAAATGTCTCACGACTTTTTTTATGCATACCATAATTTTTTTTTTTTTTGACTTAGAGTCTCACTCTGTCGCCCAGACTGGAGTGCAGTGGCCACTCCCAGCCACCACAGCCTCGACCTGCTGGGCTCTGGCGGTCCTTCCGCCCCAGCCTTCCAAGTAGCCGGAATTACAGGCACGCGCTACCACGCCCAACTGATTTTTGATTTATTGTAGAGATGAGGTCTCGCCAAGTTGCCCAGGCAGGTCTCAAACCCACGGGCTCAGGTCATCCACTCACCTCAGCCTCCCAAGGCTGAGCCACCGAGCCAGCCTAGCATACCATAATTTAATTGATCTCTTACACTAAAATTCCTATCATGAGTGGCTGACAGAATATTATGTTGAACAGTCCTGATTCAACTAAGACAGGTTTATGGTTATGTGAATAAGATCTTTTTTTAAATTTCTTTTTTTTGTTTGTTCTGTGTTTTTTTTTTTTTCTTTTTGAGTTGGAGTCTCACTCTGTCGCCCAGACTGGAGTGCAGTGGTCACTCCCGGCCACCACAGCCTCGACCTGCTAGGCTCCGGCGATCCTTCCGCCTCAGCCTTAATTTCAATTTAGAAAATGCTATCACTGTCTTCCCCTTCTAAGTATAAGATTGTACTTGATTAGTAATGTTCAACTTTTCACAAAGATGGTGAATGCCATCTTAAAATCTGTTAGAAATTGGTTTTATATTTAGATTTATATAAGTGGTTATAGGAATATATTTAAATACTGAGGAAGTTCCTTCAATATCTCAGAACCAAACAAGACTCATGTTTTTTGTGTTCACTGGCCTCTTAAAAGCAAGGACTAAAGATAAAGTAGCAATGTCTATATTTTTGGTCTTAACTATGCCAATTTAATTAGAATTCCCTGTATCTAAAAATGTTATCTTTTACTTATTAAAAGATATTTTAAGGCCAGGCTCGGTAGCTCAGCCAGTAATCCCAGCGCTTTGGGAGGCCGAGGTGAGTGGATTGCCTGAGCCCGTGGGTTCGAGACCCACCTGGGCAACTTGGTGAGACCTCATCTCTACAATAAATCAAAAACTAGCCGGGTGTGGTAGCGCGCGCCTGCAGTTCCAGCTACTCAGAAGGCTGAGGCGGAAGGATCGCCGGAGCCCAGCAGGTCGAGGCTGCGGTGGCCGGGAGCGGCCACTCCCAGCCACTGCTCTCCAGTCTGGGCGACAGAGTGAGACTCCAGCACAAAAAAAAAAAAGATATTTTAGTGTGGTTTATGTATATTATCAAATAAAGACTTTAGTGCTTCTCCATTAAAAAAAAAAAACCCAGCCGGGCTCGGTGGCTCAGCCTGTAATCCCGCGCCTTAGGAGGCTGAGGTGAGTAGATTGCCTGAGCCCGCGGGTTCAAGATCCGCCTAGGAAACTTGGCGAGACCACATCTCTACAATAAATCAAAAAATTAGCCGAGTATGGTGGCGCACGCCTGTAATTCCAGCTACTTAGAAGGCTGAGGCGGAAGGATCGCGAGAGCCCAGCAGGTCGAGGCTGCGGTGGCCGGGAGCGGCCAGTGCACTCCAGTCTGGGCGACAGAGGAGTGAGACTCCGACTCAAAAAAAATAAAAATAAAAAAAGAATGGAGAAACACAGACTAATGGGAAGGGGAGTTCACTGGAGAACGAAGGATGAGAATGAAGATTGCCACCCAGCTCTTCAGGGCTCCACTGAGCTAAGTGTCCAGCCCAAAGGAGGTTTCTGTCTGCTCAAAGTAACTTTACCAAACACAAAGAGATACTGCAGACTAGACTGGGCCACTATTCTCTCTTCAATCTTGACTAACAGAAACCAGAACCTTTATAACCAAAGTTCATCAATCTTCAAGCAATACCATTTTATTCATAAGCAGGTGGGAATAAATCCTGCTTTGCTCTTAATAATTGAATATGGCAGAGTTGTAATTCAATAATGATTCCTTCCTACACAACATTATTTTTTTTCCCCAAGGTTACACTTCCATATAATTTCTCTGGAATAAAGATAAAAAGCCCTACTGAGGCAGGTGGAGAGGGATCGAACAGGCCATACAAATTTAACAAATAGGCTAAAAGATTATATATAGGAATAAACGTTACTTTATTTACTACCTGAGAGTTTTTTGTAGTTTACCTTTAATTTCACTATCTGTTTTACTCTAGCTCAAACTATACTTCTTCTGAAATATGTACTAATTTGTCTCAAAAATCACAAAAATCATTTATTAAGCCCAATTAGTTTTAGGGAACTTTAGTCCAGTTTCAACTAGCTAAGGATAACAAACCGTACCTAGACAAAAGAAAAACTCTGATAGCAATTAAGAGACAGAAAACAGTCACCAACAGTCTTACAGAGCAAAGAGAGATGATCAAGGAAGACTATATCTTACCTCCTGAAAAATATTTAATGATGCTGATGAAGATGAACTGTCAAAGCTATGGGCAATCCTATTGCACCAATTCAGTAGATCCCTGTTTAAAAAAAAAAAAAAAAGCTAATAAAAGACCATAGGCCAAAGACATTAGAGGCATCAAAGTTTATTGACCCACTTAACTTTTGGGAAATCTCTTCTTTTTTCCAACAATGTGAAGATAAAAAAGTGTTCCTAGTCTTCATCCATACCAGGAAGTAGGTAGGAATGAGTATCACTCATTTCTCCCCTATTCATGCCAGGCAAACTGGTGACAACTCAATCAGATCAAAGTGGGAGGAGAAATTCTCTCTTCTTACAGGGCAAGTCAACCATTAAGAATGAAAAGCAAAGACACAGAACATCCCAGGAGACTTACTGAAGACTCCAAGTGTCAGAAAAGGACAATCAGTGAAAGAATTGTTAGAAACCATTCCCAAGTCTGACTTTAAAAGCTACTTTTTAAAGCTAAAAATAGCATTACCTTAATCAAGCCTTCTCCATAAGTAACTACAGACTTGGAAAAGGGATCTGACACCACAGAGCAACCTGCAAGTTTAATTTCAAAGGCTGACCTCGCATAACCATTTACTTTCCGCAGGTAAGCATTTCGGAGGTAGGCAGTTTTTAATACCAACTCAAAAAAGTTTTTAGTTCAGTACCTTAGAGACAATTCTCTTCCCTCCAGGATTGGTCTTCTGCTGTCTCTTCCAGCTTCTGAAACATCCTCGGGTGCCTGTTCACATCCAACAGAACTATCACTCCGAGAGCAATGTTTATCTCCTGTGAGTTGGATATAAATGTCAAGCAGGTGATCAGCTGCTGCCAATAGGCTGGGATATCTCCTCTGAAGAACCTGACGGGAAGAAAAAAAAAAAAAAAAATTTAGCAGCGGGCATAGTGTTTTTTAAAAGCACATATAAACTGCTGATGACTCCAGTCAACCAAAAAATGTATCTCTCTGTGAAACTTGCCATCTTTGCCAAGTGTAAGAACTTGCGCCCTTACCCTACCATCTACCCCATGCAAATACCAGGACTTTTTTCCTAACCAGAACTCAGTTATCTAGCAATCTCATCTATAACACAGCTTAGGAGGTAGAAGTCAGATGGCAAAAGGGTCTTCAAGCAGCCAAAACATATACATCCACATCCGAGGAATTTACCCACTGAGAATTCTTCAAGTGCTATTTACTCTAATTTCAAACACAGTTCTAATATGGTTTATTATGTAATTTAACAGTCAAAAGCGTATTAGAAGCAGTTAACAGGAAGAGAAAAAATAAAAATCTTTAAAGCAGACCACAATGGAATCATCTAATGTTAAGTACAATCAAGGCTGGGGCCATGGCACATCTGTTGTCCTAGCTACTTCAGAGAATGAAGCAGGATCACTTAACCCCAGGACTTTGAAGCTGCAGTGAGCCATGACTGTGCCACTGCACTCCAGCAAGGGCGACAGAAAAAGACCTGACACTTAAAAAAAATAGTAATAATAGCTGGGCTCGGTGGCTCAGCCTGTAATCCCATGCCTTGGGAGGCTGAGGTGAGCGGATTGCCTGAGCCCACGGGTTCGAGACCCGCTTGGGGAACTTGGCGATACCTCATCTCTACGATAAATCAAAAAAATTAGCCGGGTGTGGTAGCGCCCGTCTATACTTCTGGCTACTTGGAAGGCTGAGGTGGAAGGATCGCTGCAGCCCAGCAGGTCGAGGCTGCGGTGGCCGGGAGCAGCCACTGCACT